CCCACATGCCACAACTAGGAGGACCTGCAACTAAAATATACAACTATGTACAGGAGGTTTGGGGAGATAAAGCAGGAAAAAAAAACAAGATTGGCAACAGTTGTTAGCTGAGGTGCCAATCTTTAAAAAAAATGAAATAATAATAATAAAAAAAAGAAAAATTCCAAGTTTAAAAAGCAAGGTGCAGAGCAGTGTTTACAGTATACTACCACTTGTGTTTTTTAAAAAGGGTGGGAGATAGCAGTTACATAGTACACAGAACACACATATACATTCATGTGTCTATACTTCCTTACATAATTATCGAGTATCTTTGGAAAGGTAGACAAGAAGCTGGGGACACTCGCTGTCTTCCAGAAGGGGAACTGGGTGGCTGGAGGCCAGGGAGACTTTTTACTGAGTATCTTTTTGGACCCTTTGAATTTTGTACCATGTGATTAAATATTTATTTAAAGAAAAACCATTTAAACCACATCAATTACCTTTTCTGGGTCAATCTTGTCATAGAGTTTCAAGACGTAAAGAACACGGTCCTTGATTCCCTCTAACGTCAAAGGGGGCAGGTCACTATACTGGCGGCACAGCTGTGTGACTCCATCTGGAACCTAGAGCAAGGGCAGGAAGGAAGGATTGTGGAAGCTAACATGCCTCTAAATAGACACCAGCCTATGGATGTCTGTCCCGAAGCTTTCAGGGCTTCAGAGATCCCACCACATTTGGTTCTAGTTGCGGCCCTTCGGGCCCACTGAGTCCTGGTACTGGGGAGTCTCAGAAGCCCAGCAGCTCAGCAGCAGAAACCGGGGCTCCTGTCCCCTCAGAGGCAGGACTGGCCTCTGACTCCTCTGTTCAGCCCTCAGGCTTTGGACATTCATCCTGCTCAGTGAGACTGACTGCCACTAAATGGGCTGGGGTCTGCAGAAGAGCTCAAGACTTCCCATGGCACCTCTCTAAGGCACTGCCGCCTTTAATACCCAAGTCAAAATAACCCACACAGAAAGAGCAGTCACGGTAAACTAAGAGGCAAATCATTGAGGGCCATACACCGGAAGGGTCTGATTTGGCCCCAGGGGTAATTATGCTGACCAACCCAAAGGAGAAGATGAGGGACTCTGACAGTTGCTACAGTAATGTCCGATCTGTTCCCTTCCAGGCACGCTTGCGTTACTGCCACCAGCCAAACCATGAGCCTTTTTGATCTTTGCCATGACAGAGTTGTATCTCAAATCTCTGATATTAGCGTGCTTGATATTCAACCAGGTATTAGGGTTGTGACTGGATTCCTTCACCAAATGTGGAAGGAGCTCCAACTCACAGGCCAGCGGGCTCTATGCCATGGAAGGTACAATCCAGAACAAGAGAAAATAAAACAGCTGACAGTTCTCACTATGGAAGTCCCTAGTCTGAACTGGTCTGTGTATCTTCTAAGGTTGATTTTAAGTCTGCGGTTTGGAGTTCTTAGGGCATTTCCCCATAGAAAATAGATTTGCTTGCTAGGGCCCAGGTCCCTGAGAGTCAAAGGTCTCTGAAAAATCATAAAAAACTGCCAGATGAAGTAAACCAATATACACCTCTGTGTGAGAAACGGTTATCTTGCAAATAAATCAGGTTTAACCAGCAAGCTAAAGAGATTAGATGAAGAGTTTCATGGATGTTCTAGGAGTATTTCTTGCTACTTACAGAGTTTTAGAGCACTTGTTCTTTTCTGTCTAAATTTGTGGTCTCCTTTCTGTTCTGATTACAGCATGGGTTAAGAAGACCTCTGCTATGGGAACATTACCAGGCCTACTTAACAACAATGACTAGAAGAGGTTTCCAAGCCACTAATAAAATGAAGCAGCAGAAAGGACTAAAGAGAAAGAGGGAGGAGAAATGAGTTAATAGTGTTAATGACAGGAAAGAAATTTGAGGTGGATGGATGTAACAGAGGCCTTGTCTATGTGCTTATCAAGAAGTGCTATGAAGTAGAATTACCGCTGAGGAGAGGGGGAGAGAATAGGGGAGGCTGATGTGTGCACAGCACCCAAGGGGAAAGGACGAGGCTGGTGAGGGTATGTCCATACACAGCTACCCACGTGGCCCAGTAGGTGTCAGCATCACCCCCAGCAGCACTGGCAAATGCCTACCTGGGCCAGGTAGGCACAGTGTGATTAAATGAAATTAAAGGGGTCTCCAACTGGAGGCCACATGCCAATCTACAGTGGGTGTCTGCAGTGGGCTCGGCACAAGGCAGGAAGGTGCAGTGAGCGAGAGCGTAGACTCTGGAAGGAGACTGCCTACGTCTGTCCCCTAGCTCCAGCTCCTTCTTACAGTTCAGGCTTGGCAAGTTACTTAACCTTTCTATGCCTCAGTCTCCTATATGTAAAATGGGGGTAAACACCAGTACCAAGCTCATAGGACTGCTGTTGTAAAGAGATGACGTAAAGGGCTTAGAACACTGCCTGGCTCATAGAGTCAGTGCTATTTAGGCTGTCTAGTAGGATGAGGGTGATAATGAGCTGCCAGCGTGAGACCCTGGCAGCAGTGAAGCCCCAAAGTACCTGATCCTACTCCTTCCCTCTCATGCTGCCCCTTCATGCAGTCAGGCCGCAGTACTGCCCTGAGCACTTTACATACATCACCTCCTTTAGTTCTAACAAGCCCACTTTACAGAGGAGGAAACTGTGGCAGAGAGAGGTTAGGTGTCTCGCCCCAGGCTCCCAGCATGGCCTCTTGGAGGGCCTTACTGCCTCCTTCCTGCTGGATCGCAGCTGTTTAAAAAAAAAAAAAAAAAAGGATATATTCAGGGACCTCTGAAAATGTCCCCAACAGCCAACATTGTTTCTGATGTTAATAGGTCTTCCCCAAGATCTACCCTTAACAATTATATGCGACATGTGTCATCTCCCACTGACATCAGAGAAGGCACTGTTTGCAAGAAAATGACTACCCTCTGGATTAGTAGAAACGAATAAACCTGATTAGTTTCCCTCAAACTCCATCTTACCTCCACAGGGGTCCATCTCTAAGGGAAACTCAGAGGAATCTAAGGAGATGGCTTTCAAAGCCGTCTCTGCAAACTCCTCCCTGGACAGCTCTACGCAGGGAGCACAGACATCTCAGCCTCAGGTTGGAAATCAATTCCTGACCTGTCCCCAAAATGCCTGAACGCAGACCTATTCTTCTCTGCCACCTGGGGCTCTAGCCAGAAACCTCAGAGCAAACCCACACTCTTCCCGTCTCCACCATCATGTTTACCGGTCACCCGGCCTGGCTGATGGAGAGGAAAGGTCTCCTCATTTCTTCGACAGCCTTGTTGATGTTTGCTCCCTGTCACCCAGATAGGTGATTCCTCAGCGGGGATCCGGTGCCCTTCACAATATGCCTACTGTCTCCCCACCTCAACTTGGGCCTCTCCCGTCTACAGGCATCCCGAGGGTCAACCCTAAGTAAAAGCCAGGCTCTTCCTGGCCTCCACACGTGCCATTCCATCCTGCCCTGACCATGCTCAGTGGGGGTCAGTTAAGTCCCTCTTCCTGAGTCTGCGCTGTACACACACCTGTCTTCACACAAGGCAATGCCTTGCCTTTGTCTATTTACATCACTGTCCCAGCAGCCTGTGAGCTTTACCTTATGTGCCAAGCACTGTGCTATGGGGCTGGAACTACAAAAATAAAAAAGACATGACCTCTACCTTAGAGAAGCTTATGGTCTAATGGAAAAGACCAATCCAGACAGATCATTTTACTTGTAACAAAAATGTGGCAAAAGCCATGACAGAGGTATTTGTAGGCTGTTTCAGTAACAAAAAGTTGTCATTCCGTACCTGAGAGGCAGAGATGAAAGAGATACCAGACTTGGAGTTAGCCAAGAAAAGGAAAGGAGGCACGAAAGTGCAGTGTGTCTGTGTGGGAAGAAATTAGTTGACGCTGCTGGAGATTGAAGGGGAAGGTGGTTAACCGATGTGGGCCCTGAGGCCGAAGAGGCAGGACTTGGCTGCAGAGCCCTGAGCAAGACAAAACAAGTCTGTCTCACTGGGGATGAAGGATGTAGCCCCGAATCCACCAGTGTCACACACGTCGGTCTGGTTCCAGTACCAGGAATAGCCGCGCCCTCCCTGCACAAGTGCCGTGTCTGCATCTGGGCACCGCACATACACACCTCTACGGAAATTCTCTTTGTGCTCTGGCTGCCAGGCAGGTGAGATTCAGGGCCTGCCTGAGTCAAGTCTGAAATTTCCAGGCTCCATTTTAGGCCACTACCCTTGGTTTTCTTACCTTATATTTTATATTGTCTTGTATTTTTATACCCAGGAAAGCTGTGTTAGCTGCTTTTTTGGGGGGAAAAGTTAGGATGTAAAAAAATGAACAAGTAGTTGCTGTGGGGTTAGCAGAGTGGATAGATCTGAGGGAAAACGTGATAGACCAGAATGGGTAAACGAGCAATAGTGCAGGTGAGATGAACAGAGCGGCAGGTGGAGGCTTGGGGTGACTGACATACAGGCAGTAACAGAAACCAGGAGAGTGAAGAGGCAGTTCACAGAGAGTGTTTACCGCCATTTAAGGACTAGGGAAAGAAAGTGCCCAACAGGGTAGAAGGAGAGAGAGGAGAGACAGACCAAGAGAAAATAGTGTCAGAACAGCCTAGGGCAGACAGAGCAGCAGAGAATGAGCTGGCAAGTTTAACATAAAGGCTGCAAAGTGTCCAATGAAGATGTGAACTAATGTCTTTCTTCTGTATCCACCTCTCTATCCCTCATCAGCTAGCGTAAGGCCTGGCACGCAGCTGTCGCTTGGTTTCTTTGACCAATTTTTTTCTTTTGAGGAAGATCAGCCCTGAGCTAACATCCGTGTCCATCTTCCTCTACTTTATATGTGGGACGCCTGCCACAGCATGGCTTGATGAGCAGTGCCATGTCCGCACATGGGATCTGAACCACCGGACCCCAGGCTGCCAAAGCGCAACATGCGCAATGAACTGCTGCGTCACGGGCCGATCTCTGAACAAGTATTTACTCTCTGCTTCAATCCACAAAGGATATAAGGTGGTTAAATGGGAGTACTTAGTCAAAACCATTTTGTAAATATAAATGAAATGGTTCCTCTGCTGCATATGTAAACCAAGCAGAGGCAGTGGACCATCTCTGAGCACCCTGCTATTCAAGGCATGGTCCAAGGACCAGCAGCAGCAGGATCTGCTGGAGGCCCACCGGAAATGATTCTCTGGCCCCTTCCTAGAATCTATATTTTAACCCAGGTGATGCATATGCACGATCCAGGCTTGAATATCAATGCTCTAAGAATGAGGACAACCACCTTGCCTCTTAGCCTAACGCTGTAATCAGTCTTAGGAGCAAAACTCAGCAACACTACATACTTCCCTTTTAACTAACCTTTTGATTCTGACAATAAGACAATGCCCTATGAATGAGTCCACTGCCCTACCTACATCCACTACGAATGAATCAGGAAATCTCAACACTGGCTGCACAAAAGAATCACGTGACAGCTTTTAAAAACAAATGCCCAGCCCCTAAATCAGGAGATTCTGATTGATTTGGCCTGGGCATCCTTATTTTTTATTCTAATATCTTACTCAAGGGTGAAACCAGTATTACTTGGGTTTGTGGGTTTGAAAAGGCATTTCTCAGCTTGACCTTGGGAGTCTATCCTACCTTAAGACAGTTCTCTTTCATTCTGGTGCACTTCAGAGTCACCTGGGGAACTTAAAAAAATAAAACCCATGCCACAGCCTCATCCCAGAGCAGTAAATCAGAATTGGGGGCCGGGGCACAAGGGATTTCTTTTCCTTTCTCTTTTAAGCTACCCAGGTAATTTGTACAGCCAGGGTTGAAAATCACTGCCCTAAGGAGAGTTTGAGGCTCACAAAGGTTTCCTCAGATTAAAAACAGCTAGATAGTACTTGTTCCCTATCCTTATTTGCAGGAGGCCCAGAAACAGGCAAAAGGTGCCACAGGGAGACAGAAATCCAGGCAGAGAACAGCCCTGGAGAAGCCTGTAGGCCAGCATGGCTTCCTCTTTGCACCGTGTCGTTAGAGCTCCCCTCGAAAACTATCACGGTATTTATCATTAGCGCTACGACTAACGGCGACCAACAGTCTGAGAGCTTACCAAGCACCGCACGAGGTACTCTGCCTGTATCATCCCCTCTAAACCTCGCTGCAGCTCAAGGTGGAGACTAGTACTTTTCCCACCTTACGGTGCAGACTCAGGCGCAGCGCGGTTACGAGACTCGTCCAAACTTTCGGTAAGTGGCAGCCAGCGTTCCAACCCAGGGGTGTCTGACGGGAGGGTCTGCGCTCTCGCTCCTAAGCACTAGGTCAGTCGGGCTCCCGGCAGGGGTTAACCAAGCACCGTCATGCAGTGGGATGGGGAGGGAGTCGGATATCCCCCGTCACCCCCGCCAGCAGCTGGCGCGGCCCCGCTGACTGTCCGCCCCCCGACCCGAGTCCTGACCCCTGCGAAGCGCCAGCAAAGTCACCGCGAGTCACCTGAGCGAGCACCGAGACCGGCTGCGGAGCCCCACGCCTCGTGCGGGCCCCCGCGGGCCACAGGGCGGTGCTGAGCGGCCGGGCTGCGGCCAGGGTGGGGGCCCGGGGCAGCAGCGCGAAGGCCGCGGGCAGTCGGCGGACACCGGCGGAAAGGACACGAGCCGCCATGGCTACGCCGACCCAGGATGCACTGCGCCACGCCCTCCGCGCCGTCCCCTTTCCCGCTCGGCGCGGGCGACGCACACAGCGGCGCTGCGGGCGCGGCCGGCGGTGGAGACCCCGCGCGGCTCCCGGCGGCACTGCGCCCTCGCGGGCCAGAGGTGAGAGGCCGCCAGAGCCAGAGTGAGACTGCGCATTGTCTTCACCTCAGCGCTGATCACGCCACGAGAAAGAAACGTGCTTTTCTTTATTCTCTGAGAGTTCTGAGATACATGTATTTAAAAGTTTTGATGCCGCGATCTTCCATAGGTATTAAAATTATCTAATAGGTCAAAACTATATAAAACATGAAAATTTAAGAGTCTATTTAAATATATAATTAAGACTAATGTGGGAATTACGATAAAAACAATATCCATGTTTTAAAACTTGACAATGCATAAGTAATACAGCTCACAAAAATGGGTAAGGAGGGGGAAGTTGCAGTGTGCTAATTCACCCCTATTGAACAGGGAGCCCAAGGATATTGGCTGAAAGTGAAACATGGACAAGGGCTCCAAACTCCGCAGGCTGCCTGGACGAACAATCCAACAACGCCTTCAGTTTCACTTCAGTTTCTTTTTATTTTTGTTCAAGTAAAATAAAATGTAATGTCTTTAATTTGAAATAGAATGCGTAGTATGATCCCACTGTTGTAACAGTATTTCTATACGTTCGTTAAAAATTTGAGAATCTGTTATGTGCTAGTTGTTGAGGCTACAGCAGTGAGCAAGCCAGAGAGGCAGGCTGTTCTCAGAGTTTACATTCTAGCGGGAAGACACACAATAAACAAATAGAAAGGTACACCCCCCCCCCCCCCCAAATCCACCAGCAAGTAGTGGAAGTACAAGAACAATAAAACAGGGAAGGGGACAGTGAGGGCGGACAGGGGGTGTGTTTAATTTTAGAGAGGGGGTCCCCCTCTTAGGGGGTGATATTTGAGCCAAGACTTTCATCAATCAGGGGGAGGGGAAAACAGACCCTCAGGAGTCACTGCTGCTGGTGATGCCAGCCAGCCCCTATGGCAGTGCCAGCAGTCGACGCCAGGCTTCTGCATCCTGTTGTCATCACCACACTTTACTGCTTATTAAATAGCAACTGGGAGACAAACTGTATCACCTCTTTGGAATGGTCAGTGAATAAAAGGCCAAGGCCCATTCTGAGTGGCAGCCTTCCATTTCTGCAGAAAACTGACCGGCACCAAAAATCTGATTGTAGTCCTAGGATCAGGACCCATAAGATCTGCTTAAGCCACCAGTGACACACCAGCCTCTGATGACACCTTCCTGGCCATACCCTGGGGCAGAGCCATGATGGTGACCACACAGCTTTAGCAGAAGAGGGAGCACTCAGGAAGAGCCTGAGGGCCTACTAAGCCCACACTTGGAAAACTCTCTTCCCATTACCTACCTGTACTTCTGTGTTACATGTAATTCTTTTGGTCAAACATAATAAATCACCTCCTATTTAAATGACATATGTTGGGAGAGCTATCTTTCTCTTCAGCAAACACATCAAGAGAAAATGTCAGCCTACGTGGTCTGTAGGGTAAAAGGTTCAATATTAAGATTGAGGTCAAGTCCTTGGTAGCTGGGGAAGATTTAAGAGAGGACACTGGTGCTTTTCAGCAGCAGTCCCATCAAAGGATGTAAAGTATAAACTATGTCAACTTCCTGCACACGTCACCCCACCAACCATCCCTCCTACCTTCTGCCATTTGCACTATTGTTCCATCCCCTCCTTGCAACACCAATTCTCACTTCTCCTCTACATCTTCAACCTCTTTTTCTTTTAGCTTTTTCCCTTGAGCCCGTAAATATGCCAAAGTTTCTCCTAGCCTAAAAACAAGGCCAGAGGCCTCCTCCACTGCCCTTTTATATATCTCTAATATCACCAACTCCTCTTTCCTATGAAACTTCGTGAAGGAATAATCTGCACTTTGTCTTTAATTCCTCACTTCCTATTCAGTCTTTAATCCACTCAAATCTAGACTCTACTGGACCTGCCTCCACCCCGGCTACCGAAGCTTTTCATAAAGCTCACCACTACATCTCACATTGTCAAATCCTACAGAAGCAACCTCTCTGGCCACTCCTTTTCTGCCTTTATCGTGGCTCTATTTCCTCCCCTCATCATTTAAACACTGGTCCCCGGGCTCCTGTTCTTGACCCACTCTTAACTTTAAACATACACATTTTCAGAATTGATTCACTCCAGAGGTTTTAATTCCCACCTGCATCCAACCCTGGCCTCTTCTCTGAGCTTCACAGCCCTATATCCAATTGCCTACTGCCAGACGATCTGTAAGTACTCAAATTAGTTATCTTTCCCCTTGTGTGTTATTTCAGTTGCTGACACCATCAACCCACTAAGCCAGAAATTTAAGACTCCTTCATCTCCTACCTAATCATGCATTCACTTTGTCCTGCTCATTTCTTTTTCCTTCCAAATCTTTCTCCAATTCAGCTATTTCATTCCCACTGCCCCTGCCACGGCTCAGGTACTTATGGTCGTCTCCCTGCCTCCACCCTTGGCCTCCATAAATCCATTATTCACTCTGTAGCTGGAGTGGGGCCTTATCACCTTACTGCTCAAACTCTTAACAGTCCCTTAACCTGTGAATAAAGTCCAGGCTTGTCAACATGCCTCACAAACTCCCTGGCTACCTTTCCAGCCTCCTGACATCATCCCCATGGCATAATCATCTTGTAATACTGTGTTGTGTAGTTGATACCATACTGTCCTTTCTGCCTGGAATACCCTTTGCTTCTGCTCTGACCTACTTACCCTGCAAGACTCAGCTAAGCTGTCATTCTTCATGAAGCTTTTCTTGAACTCCCTGCGTAGTGCTAACTGCCCATCCTTTGAGCTTCCACTATAGCACTCTCCACATACCCTTTAAATTTAAAACACGGTATTTCATTTAAATTAAATCACTAACCTGTGCACTTCTGAAGGGCAGGCCCTCCCGAAAGTCCTTTTCACACCTACTGTGTCAGAAATGTGCTCAGTGTTTGTTCAACTGTTACTGAACCACAATTACTGCAGAACTCTACTCAGTTTTCTTAATTCTTAAATCAAAATAACATATGTTTCTCCAGGTTCCTGAGTAAATTAAATCTTTGTGAAAAGCCTCGATTATCTATGATATGCTACCAAGTAAAGTACTCTCTCATTTGAGATTAGAGAGAGAACAGGATTAGCATAGAAGAGAAAGTTAAATCTTTTATGCAAATGTATGGAAGGGTAAAAATGAAGTTAGTAGAAACCACTATGTAAATATCATTAAAAGGTATCTTTAAAAGAGAAGTAATAGAGCAAATAGTTATATAGATCATGAGTATATACTCTCAATATACTCCATAAGAAAGTTAGGCAAATAAATACCTGTAGCTTGGGATAAAATTTCCAATGATACCATCAGATTAGGACTTTAAAAATCTCTGCTCTCTAATCAGATGGCAAAGTTGAAGATGATGTAGTCAGGACAGCTGTGTTGTTGACCCAAAGTGACTCCAGGGACAATGCAGGCTCTGCTATCAAGGATGCATATTAGAATGGAAAAGAACAACAGCATTTCTAAATTAGCATATTTTAATAAAATCTGTATTACTCTTAGTAGGTATGTGAAAAGAAAGTATTACAAATAGCACAAAACCATAGTGCGTGTTAGTATACTAAGTTAACTGAAATTTACTCTTACTATGCAAGCATCGCTGACTAAATATTCTAGGTGTTAAATGTTTAGTTCTTGTTTCTGAAAATGATTTTTCTAAGACAGGAAAAAATAATATGCCAAGCAGAATGTATCAAAATAAATATTTATTAACATTTGAAGCTTTATGTACACCTTCAGAAGCAAATGTGCAAAGGTGAGGAATTACAAAAATCAACCTAAAATCCTTTCCCCCAAAGTAAGTATAAATGAGCATTCAAATCAGCAGTGCCACCACCAACGGAATAAAAAGTAAGTGTCTGAATGAATACAAGTAATTATTTTAAATGTCATTCAGATATTCTCCTTTACAGTTACAACTTCGAAAAGTAATAAGAGGCTGCATACATCCAGAACTCTGGGTTTTCACCTTACCCTAACTTCTTAGTAGCGGTATATAAATATATTTCCATCTTTTTGTCCAGCCAGCAAATGAGAATCTGTACCTGACCATTTCACAAAAGACCAATTTTGGTCAGAGAGAGGTGGAAGGAGAGCAGTGCAATGACCTAGAAGTAAGTCCCAAATGGCGATTGTTCCAGAAGTCAACACTGCTGCTGCAAAAGTATCTTTCACATCACCTTCCAGGAACCTAACATCAAGCAGAGAAGAGACAATTTAAATCATATATTAAAAAAAAAAAAAGGTTTGCCCCCCAAAACCGTGCCCTGCCCCCTAAATCAACAAGAACAAAAAGCCCTGGAAATATGAAGGCCTCTACTTGCAATCCTAGGTGTCTGGCTACCGTGGTGCAGTTTAGGACATAATCACATATCCAGTCCCTGCCTCTCCCAGCTTGTACCCCCTGCACCCCAGCTCACAGTGGCCTTCCTTCCATTCTTCAAACCAGCCAAATTCAGTCTCACCTCAGTGTCTTTGCTCTTGCTATTCCCTCTCCCTGACAGGCTCTAACCCCAGATCTTAGCATGGCAGGTTTTTGGCGTCAGATAGGCCTTCACCTCCGTAGAAAGGTCACATGAAAGCACCTATCTAGAGTAGTGCCCACATACATACACTCTGCTCCCTCTCTACCTGTTTTTATCTTCATAGCTCTTTTCACTATGTGAGATTATCCTATTTCCATATTTGGTGGGGATCTCTCCCACGAAAATGTAAACATCATAAAGCAGAAAATCTGCTTGTCTTTTTAAGACAAGGGCTCTGAGGTCAGCTATCAGGGCTTGAATTCTAACAAAGGAAGCGCTGTGTCACTCTGGGCAAGTTATTTAACTTCATTAGTAAAAATAGGGACATGATGATATGAGCATCTACTTCACAGGATTGTTGTGAGGTTTAATGAAATCGTTGATTTAAAAAGCTTAGCCCAGTACCTAACAAACAGGAAGTGCTTAATAAAAATCAGCTGTCATTCCTCCCTGCCATATCACTAGCACCTTGCAGAGTGCCTAGTACATGGTCAGCCCTCGGAGAATATTCTGAGGGAACTGAATGATAGTTTCCATCCCTGGCTCCCACCTGACTTTGTGTAGCTGACTCCTAACTCATCTTTTGAAACTCCGTAAAGTTTTCCTGACAGTCTCTCCCCAACCTTCCACTGCCAATTCAGCTGCCCCTCCATCCATTGTGCTCCCAAAACAGGGCAAACCTCCTGGCATTTTGTGCACTGAACAGTAGTCACTGGTTTTCTCTTCTAAATTCCATGAGATGAGAAACAGTAGTGCTCCAACAAGATTGGCACCAAATAGGCTTTCAAGGTTTGCTAAACGAATGGTTTTGAAAAGTGACAAGGGAAATGCTTAAGCAAGTAGTTATCTTTACCCTAAATTTCTAGGCAAATAACTATGGTTCTCTCTTCACATCCAAGAAAACAAGTTCTATATGCAAGCCTATATTGCAAATGATAGTCCTGAGGTTCTTGCTGGGCTAAGAACATTTGCAGAAAGGCCACAGCCGAGTGCACAGGGAGAGACTGTCTTTTAGAACATGCATGGATCCAGCAAGCTCTGCACAAGACCCAAAGAAACAGAGACATTTTAACTACCAAGGATCCTTATCCTTGTGAGTTATTCAAGCTAGACTTTGTGATCTTGATTTCTAGGTCTATTTCCTATGACTCTGCTGCTAAGTTCGAACATTAATAAGGGCAGTCTTCAGGAACAACACATTCAGATGTTGCCTGGTTGGCCTAACAATACCAGCACTACTTCAGAGTTCTACACAGCTCAGAAAACAATCGGGATGCCAATAACTGTGTCACTGATAAATAGATTTTCTCATCAGTCAATAGATAAATATTTATCAACAGATAAAAATCAACTGCCTCCATGATGGAGGCTCAGTCAGATTTCAAAGTAAAGATGTCTTCCTAAAGTACATTTAAAACTTTCTTGGGCCAGCCTTGGCGGCCTACTGGTTAAGTTCAATGCACTCCGCTTCAGTGGCCCAGGTTCGGTTCCCGGGCACGGACCTATACCGCTTGTCTATCAGTGGCCAGGCTGTGGCGGCAGCTCACATACAGAATAGAAGAAGATTAGCAACAGATGTCAGTTCAGGGTGAATCTTCTTCAGAAAAGAAACAAAACAAAACTTAATTTAGGTTTGATGGAAAGAACATAAATTATAAGCTTTTTGTACAGAAGATTAATTACTGATTATATTTAAAATGTTTTTGTTATGGGAAAAAACAGGGCTTGAATATGCATAAAATACCTATCCAACCCCATACTGGTACGGATCAGGATGTAGGGAATCTGAGGTTTGACTCAGATCCACTAAACTTCATCCTGCTCCTTAACATTCTTCACTATGATCTGCAGGATTTCACGTTTTCACTCATCTAACTGATATAAAAATATCTGGTTTTTGTATTTGCATAAGTGCCTTTCAAAACGTCACACTCGCTGAACAGCAGTGACACACTTGCCTTCCAGCCTGCCCTTGAGGAAGACAATAGAGCATCACACCCATACTCAGGGTCGTCTTCGGGTTAATCACAATCAGCTGAAACACAGGGCTTCTCAGCGCCTCACTCTCTTTGGCACAAGGATGACTCAGAACAACAAAGAGGAGCCCCTAATTTAGAAGAAAAATTAATAACCAAATAAATCATCAAGAATATGTTGGGAAAAAGAAAGGGCTGGCAGGGACAAAACTAAAGAATTACAGGAACGATGAATCGGCTCTTGAGTATCTCGGATTCAGACACTGGCTCGTTTCTTTCAGGCAGGCACTGGAGAGACTGTCACCGAGCTGGACGTCTGGCTTCACTAGCACAGGGCTCCTAAGATTTTTCAGCCAGTCTTGCAGGCGTGAATCTAGCTGACTCATGGATTTCCTCCGCCTTAGAGACTACTAACATGTCATGCCATCCATTTAGGGAAATGTTGGCACAGGGAAAGAGGGCATATAAATACGTGGACGGAGTCCTTAAACTAGAAATGTGCATTCATAGGTTGGTTTGTGAAAATTCAGAACACGTTTTCCCAGAAAACAATCTTGTAAGCGGTGACTAGACTTTTAGGCCAGTCTACAAGAGCCTGTTTATTTATATTTATAAAGTAAGAGTGACAGAAAAAGGCACCATCACCTGTGGTTGTTTCTGTAGGAAAATGTGTTACAGACTTCTCCCAGCTTTAAAATTACATGTTCTAATAATAAGATTATTGTGTGTGAAGCTATAAATGTCACACACATATATATAAACATATATATGTATATTATACATTGAAAATAAATTACCTTTGAGGGTAAAATGGGGAAATTAATTATAGGGCCATCTTAGGATTGATAACATTCTTTTCTACTGTATGCATTTCTAGAAGAACTAAATTCTTATAATGAGAATGAATTACCTTTATAATTAGAAAACAAGTGAGTCAAAAAATGTTAAATGCCATACAATTAACTAGGGGTTGGCACACTATGGCGCACAGGTCAAATCTGGCTCAATGCTTACTTTTTTATGGCCCATGAGCTAAGAATGACTTTTGCACTTTGAAATGATTGAAAAAAAGACAGAGGAAGAATATTTTGTGATGTGAAAATTATACGAAATTCAAGTTTCAGAAAGTTTTAGTGTCCAGTAAGTTTTTTTGGAACATAGCCATACCCATTTGTTTACATATCGCCTCTGGCAGACAGATTGTGTGCTATAGCGGCAGAGCAGAGTAGCTGCAACAGAGGCCATGTGGCCAGCACATCTGAAAATATTTACTATCTGGCTCTTTATGAAAAAGTTCACCAATTCCCACACTAACTATTAACTACTATTTCCGGAAGCTGGCTTCATGGAGAACTTTTACTTACTATCTTACACATTTCTGTGCTAAATGTTTTAATATCAAACAGGTATTAATGTTATAATAATGAAGACAGAAAATTGTCTAAATGCCTTATATTTATTATAAATTATAAATTATAGATTATAAACTATAAATTATAGATTATAAAAATATCTAAATAAGGTAAATGTAGTAATTCCAGAGACAAATTCAACCTTTCTATTTTAAGGATGAAAAAGTTAGCCTCAAAATTATGTGAGAGATTATCTGCGATCACACATTTGAGTTCAATTCCACAGATCTGGCCGGGGTGGGGAAGGACGCATCCTCTGCATGCGGAGCCTCTGGATGCCGATGCTGACAGAGCTGCCACTGAGGCTGAGAGACAGTCTGCACAAAAGCACTGAGCTGGCTGCTACCGCCTCTGCTCGTGGCTCCCCGGTGGGCACTCGAGCAGTTTACCTCTGACTCCTGGACAACGACCTGTGACCTGCGCAGATGTCAAGACTAGACTGTAAGCCAAGTCGATTAACACAATGGCTGAGAAGCTGTGTGCATTTCCAGACGAGGACACTGAAGTCTAGAGAAACACATGTCTAGGCCCATTTAATCATCCTCCCTAAGAGAATTCATTCACATCATAAACCATTTATGGCAATGTGGCTGGGAGCCAAGTCTGATAACAGGCATGATATTTCCCGGTACAAATTCACAGCTAGAAATAAATGTTTGCCCTTAAGTCAAAGAACCAGAAAATTTACCAGGCAATCATATTGTACCAACACTTATTTTCATCCATCAATTTCAAGAAAGAACAAACACTGCTATCCAATTTTGAAAAAGAATAGGCAACCAGGAGGGTCAGTTAATGGCTACTTATGAAGTTACCGCTCTCACTCAGTGAGACCAACAGTAACACACAAAGTAGACACAAAGTGGTACCCGCAGATCACTACTTACCATTTCAGAATAGGCTTTGTGACAGACTGAAGCTTGGTAGGAATCGCCAATGTGCATCTTTCTCAGGAGCTGACCGGTTCTTAAATTCCTTAGACACCAAAAATAAATAAGCTGATAACATTCCTCCAGCAAACTGGTTTTCACATAATACTCTCTTATTTATCACAGCATCCTTTAGGCGGGTGACCGAGGGAAAAACTGAGAGAGACAGTACCTTTGTTTTGTTTAGTCACAGATTTAGCTAAAAACAGAACACAGTTTAACTGTGCCAATGGTTTAATTTGATAGTTTAGCCTTAGATTGAATCTGCTCTGCCACGAGGGATAAAGCTCTCCAAATTCCATGAGAAAAGTTTTCCATGATCTCATTTTACTTGGTGTTGAAATCAGGCACACGGTGTAGCTCTATCATTACGATTCTGTCACACTTCTTGTTATGCCTAAATTTTCCAAGGATGACGATGGACAGGAAACCAAATTTGCTTAGATGAGAGACTACACCTAAAAGACTTATAATTATGTCTGTACAAGACATGTTTATACTAGAGCTAGACCAAGATGATGGAGAGAGAAGGGATGACCGAGATGGGGTAAAAAATGGAAAAAGGAAGAGAGGAGAGAAGAGGGTGAACATAAAGAAGGAAAAAAAGAAAATTTGTTGGAACCACCCCTTAGCTTTACTGGGGAAAGTGACATTGACAACTGTTCTGTCATGTGACTCGACTGATGAAAAACTTTCAGGGGCTCTCCATGAGCCACAAGATAAAGTCCAAGTTCTTTCTCATGGTATTTATAACCCTCATGAATCCAGCGCTGCAATACTGTATTACCCGCTGCTCCCCTACTTGTAATCTTCTCACTCTCCATACAACATAATATGTACATTCCTGGCTCTAGACCTGTGTTCAAGCTCCTCCTTCCAGTGTGCTCCCCATCACCACTAATTCCCATCCCCATTACTGACCAATGCCCATTCATTCCTTAAGGCCTACCTTATGGCCCACCCCCTCCGAGCTGCGTGAGCTCGATTTAGACTTTCTCCTCCCTTTTGGCACCAGTCCACAGAAATCTCCTCTCCTCCAATTCCCTATAGTACTGTCCATATGCCTCATTTGTTATTTAATATAGACTGTAATCGGGTACAATGTATTCATTCAACAAATACTTGCAAACTTTCTACGGACCAGGTACTGTGTATAAAAACTGAAGAAGGAACACTGAATTCTCATGTATGTATGTAAGGTTTTCCTCAAATAAGGGACACCAGGATAGCTTTATCCCTTACAGAGGTTAGCACACATTCTGTATTTAGTAATTGCTCTTTTCCAAAATCCCAGAGCACTTTGTCCAAATCTCTGTCACTTTGACTTTGTGTGAATTGTAAAGGAATTGTACACTGTGAATTGTAAAGTAACCTTATTTACCTACTAGATTTTAGGGGCTTTGGGACCAGGACTCATATCTGATTTGCATCTGCATCTCTCACAGAGAATGGTACATAAGTAGAGACTCAAATATCTATTAAATGATTGAAACATGGGTGCTCAGTTAATATAGCTTGACCAAGATTAAATATTTAGACTTTCAGCAGTATTTTCAAAAAGGGTCACTTGAGGGGCTGGCCTGGTTGTGTAGTGGTTAACTTCACATGCTCCGCTTCAGCGGCCTGGGGTTCACGGTTTCAGATCCCAGGCACGGACCTACACGCCACTCATCAAGCCATGCTGTGGCAAGTGTCCTACATAAAAAACACAGGAAAACTAGAACAGATGTGAGTTCAGCAACAATCTTCCTCTCATACACACAAAAAAAGGCCACTTGAACCTTGAGTATATAACATGAATCACTTTAGACATCTAACAAATCAGGAGTTCAATAGGAAAGTTACAAACTACTATATGTAGGGGCCAGCCCATTGGTGTAGGGGTTAAGTTCATGCGCTGCGCTTCAGCAGCCCAGGGTTTGCAGGTTCAGATCCTCGGCGCAGACCTAGCACCACTTGTCAAGCCATGCTGTTGTGGCGTCCCACATAAAATAGAGGAAGATGGGCACAGATGTTAGTTCAGGGCCAATCTTCCTCACACACACACACACCAAAAAAACCCCCAAAAAACAAAAAACTCTACTCTCTGTAAATATAAAGTTCTATAGAGCCTAAAAGGTAAATGATAGCTTTTGATAGACAGTATGATCCATACATCTTTGAGTAACAACCCTAAGCAGGAGCTAAGGCAGGCACTGAGAATACCCACCTCCAAACACTTTCATGATACAAAGTAGCATATGCTAAGTTAAAAATAAGGGCAATATGGGGCGAGCCCAGTAGTGCAGTGGTTAAGTTCACACACTCCGCTTCAGCGGCCCAGGGTTCACAGGTTTGGATCCCAGGTGCATATCTACACACTGCTCATCAAGCCATGCTCTGACAGCATGCCACAACTAGAAGGACTTACAGCTAGGATATACAACTATGTACTGGGGCTTTGAGGAGAAAAGCGAAAAAAAAAAGAGGAAGATTGGCAACAGATGTTAGCTCAGAGCCAATCTTCCTCACCAAAAAAAAAAAAAAAAAAAAAGCATACCTAAAAAAATAGAGTGGGCTTTATCTCTGTTAAAAGAAAAAAGAAAAAGGGGGCATTGAGGGGTGGGAAGAAAAACGGGAGCTAAGGAGTATGGAATAGCTGGAGTGGAATTTTTAGAATTTTTATAATAAAGCATTGGAGAAATGAAGCTGAAGAAGAGCCAACATGGGCCCCACTGAAGGTTTTATTTCTAGAGGAGAATGGGGAGACCTGGGAGGAAGAGTGTTTATAAAGTAATAGTATAAGATGATCTGGAGGTTGAATCTTGGTTGATGGCAAGGAGACCAATTACTAGACTACCTTAATAATCTAGAAGCCAAATAATGAAGGTCTGGATCATAGAAATAGCTGCAAGAATAGAAAAGACAACTTTGTAAAGAACACTGTCCCTAGACAAGACTGACAAGCAGAAACCCTGAGGAAAGTACCAAAAGTGCACATCTGCTGCTCTGGATAGAAGGACATCTGAAACCCGGGTCTCCCAGCAGATGAGAACCTGGTTGAGTTTCAGAGGCTCCCCGGTGGAGACGGGACAAAGTTCCTCTCAGGGGCCATGCTTTCCTAGTTTATTCCTAGAGGGTGGGGTTGGACGGTGCAGAATAGGTAGTGACACTATCATAACTTTCTCTTACCAAGCCCATTGTGCCTTCCTTCTGAGAAAAAAATCAATCTATTCTCCTAATACAAGTTAACCTTGCAAGTACCTATGGCGAGGTACAGTTCTCCCCTGTGGTCAGGAAAGAGGTGGCTGGGGACTCCTCAACTTCAGTTTCCCTATCACAAATTTGTTAAATTGGATCTTTAATCATATTTTTTATATCTAGTAATTTTGGATTGTATTCTAGACATCACGAACGACACATCATAGAAACTCTGAATTCCGTTAGGTTCCTCTGAAGAATACTGATCCTTTTTCCTAGTAAACAGTTAACTTGGCTAAACTCAAATTCCAAATGCTGAAAACCAGTTCCATTCTTTTTCCTTACATGGGCTGCTTCGAGTCTGCCCTGTGTACATACATGCAGTTTAAAGGTCAGCCAGATATTTAAGGAGAGATTACAGCCAGTTTAGAGCTCCTTCTCTGGCACTTCACTTTTTGGGATTTTCTCTCTCTTTCTAGCTGCTGTGGTCACCCTGAACTCTGTCCTGCGGCTCTTTAAGACAGTGGGACAGAGGTTTTCTATCAGGTATTCAGTCATCTACTGCGCAGACTGGGGCCTCCCCTCTGACTCAGAGCCATAAGAACAGGAAACTCGCCCAGTGACAATGCTTTCTTCTAAGTGTCGAACCCCCTCCAGTATCTTTCTTCTTTTTCTCACTCTCCAGTGCCTTCAGATAGTTTTTTATATCTTGTCCAGAGTTTAAGCTATTTGAGGTAGGAGAGTTGGTCTGACAGAAGCTACTCAGCCATTAACCAGAAGCAGAAACAATCATACCTTTTAGACAACGATAAATTTCATTTATTTTAAAACAGTCTACTCAGACTGACCTTTTTGACAATGTCTGAATTAATACAACGTTTTTGTTAAGACAAGTATATGGCATCTGACAGTAAACAAACGACAACACAATCATGTTTACAGAGTCTCTGATCTAATCTTAAGAACTCTGTGAAATTAGAATACAGATGAGGAAACTGAGGGGCTCGAGGGAAAGCTTACCAGATAACAATGTTGTTCATTATAGTGGTACCAAGCAGAGCCTCCTGCATCCCTTGAACCTCAGCAAAAGTTAGTATAGTCTCTTCAGGGGGCATCAAAAACTGTTTTTCTTTGCTTCTGCATTTAAAACAGTATTAAAAATCAGCACTTTGTATCAAAGCAGTTTCTAAGCAGCCCTTCTACATATTATGGAGCTATGCATAATAAACACTAATGCAATACCAGAAAAAAATTTCAATCAGAAAACATGTCTATTCTAAACTTTCTACAGTGAACATTTATTATCTTCATATTATCTACCTGGATATATTGCAAGCACCTCAACTTCATTACATCCAAAATTAAACTCACTGGCTCTCTCTTTAAACCTCATGTTTCTTTCTGCATTCCTATCTCGACGAACTGTACCACCATCTACCCAGGTGACCAGCCTAGAAACCTGGACATTATCCTTGTCTCCTTCTTCTCTATCTACTCAATCACCAAGTTCTAATGATTTCATCATTTCATCTCTCTCAAATTGTCTGCTTCTCCCCATCTCCACAAACATTTTCCTAATTTAAGCAAACATTTATCTCTTGCCTAGACTACTGCAACAGGTCATGAATAAATAAGATAAACATGGTCCATGCTCTCTGTTATTAGGAAAGACAGATAAATAATCAGAATAAAGTGTAACAAGTATATGATAGACATAGAGGATGCTATGAGTTCTGTTTTCAACACGTTGAATTTGAGGTATCCATGAGACGTCTGATAAATAGGTGTGCTGGTCTAGAGGTTGAGAAAGAGCTCAGAGCTAGAAACATGTTTGCAAGTAGTCAGTATCTAGATGGAGACTGAAGCAATGGAAACCAAGTGTATGAAACAAGAGAAGGGTCTAGCATCTTAAGGTACTTGTAATATTTAAAGGATACTCAGAGATTTCAAAGAAGACTGAAGAAAGAACAAACTATAGTTGCTGAGCTTGCACTCCACTGACTTCTTCCCTGTCGTGTCTGGCTCGCACCTTTCTAAAGTGCTTCTACGTTATAGCCTAGTGTTGAGGCAGAACCTGCTATACCATATCTACAGCACAGGAAAACAAGATGCTAGTGGTCCAACTCTCTCTGAAACCCTGTGATGAAATCATTCTTTATCTAATAGTTAAAATCGACCAATGCTTTTCTTACCCTCCATCTTCTGCAAAGGTCATGATTTCTACTTGTTGATCACAAAGGGTCCCACTGCTAGTGACTAGCCTTCTCTGTGTCAGGCCAAGCACAGCTTTTATATTTCCAGAACTCAGGAGTAATTGCTTTTCACTTTCACCATCAGAGGAACAAAGTAATGCCCTAAATCAAATATAAGGGAAAATGCAGAGAAGTCAGGTGTAAGCCTTTAATATCAAAGGACTAGGCTCAAACTTTAAATGGAAACTCTGGTCAGGGATACTGTTCTATTGATTTTGTTTTGTTTTGTTTTTTTAAAACAAATCTCTCTTCAGACCTAAATTTAGATTCTTTCAAGACTCAAGCCTAGGTTATAACTTGCACTCAGAACAGCTAACAGAGAGAAAGATAAAGGGAAAGAAAAACTACTCCCTGAGAATTACATACCTGATTTCTCTGATTTCCAAATTTCCCAAAGCCACACACACAAGATTACAAACATCAGGCACTAGAACTATCTGTAATACTGGAACCTATATTAAAAAAAGCAGCCAAAAATTATATTTGGTTGTTTCATTTTTAATTAATCTAAATTTTCCAAAACTTGGTCACATTCTTTTCTATTCTCACTCTACCAGGATTAACTGCTAACATTTGAACAAATGTGAAAAGGTTCAGCAAACATCCTCTTTTTATAAGCTGTAAATCCAAATGTGCTATATGCAAAACAGTGCTTACTATAGCATTTATTTATGCAATCTACACTTCTACCAACAGAATAATTAAATAAATTCTGACATGTGAACAAATGGAACAGCCATTTAAAATAAGTTTATTCACTGAACAAATATTTACTGAGTACCCCTATGCAGAGCACAGTGCTAGAAGCTGTGGACATAAAGAAGACGAATGAAATTTGGTAAGAAAGTAGATCATAAACATTCTCACAAAAAAGAAAAAGGTAACATGACCACGTGAGGTCATGGACGTGTGAATTAACTTGACTGTGGGAATCCTTTCACGGTGTATACATACATCAAATCATCACATCATACACTTTAAATATATTACAATTTTATTTGTCAATTATGCCTCAATAAAGCTGGGAAAATAAATAAATAAAATTCAAAATAAATAAGTATGAAGAATATGCAGAAATAAGGAAACACGTTTATACAGTGAGTGGGAAAAGGCAGACTGAAAAATTTTAAGCACACTAGGATTGCAGCCATGTAAGATATGTATGAAGGTGGACAGGGACTAGAAGAAAATATATACAGAAAAAAAGCAAGAATGATGTTTTTGTGAGGGATAAAAAATATAAGTATCAGCAAGTTTAGAAGTCAGAATACACATGAAATTCCAAGCTCTTCCCTCCAGAAGGTCTAGTGCAAAAATTCGTCTCTGGATAAACATGTGATAAAACCAATAAAGCACAGTGTTAATTACAGAGTCTAGATGGTGAGTGTATGGGTGCTCGCTGTACAACTTTCCTGAATGTTTAAAAATTCTCATCATAAAAAGTTGGGAAAGAAACTCGACGCTCTGCTCTGTCTTGCATGATCACAGATCCCATTTTTGGTAAGCTGCCCATCTATATTACCACGCAAATGACTGCAGAGATCTCTTTCACCTCGAAGATTCTGACTTACCTCTGTGAAGTGCCAGGAATAAATTTTTTCCCACTGCCAAGTATCCAGAGCTTTCCAAAGAGAAACTACATATTCACACGCAGTTATGATACACGGCTCTTTCAAACCAGCTATTTCCCACCACATGGCACTCACATCCACAGAACAGGAACCTGAAGTATTCTGACACAGAATGGCAATAAATTATGTCAAAGGGATACTTGGGGTCTGTTTCATGAAAAGAATAAATATGAAAAGTGATGGATTACAAGGATTAGATGAAATACTAAATAAATGTAATTAAAGTTTTATGCAGGTCAAAAGAGAGAGCTTTGTGGGTCTTATGCAACTGAAAAACATTGCCCATACACACTTATATTATGATGGATTTAAAATGTATAGCTCCAGAATGGAATAGATTCAGATTTAACCACAAAAAAGAGCCCATAGGAACTTGCCCATGTGGAAATGAAACATGCTGAGGAAGCACCCATGGGTTGAAGAGGGAATAAAAGTGAAACAACATACTATTTCTAAAACGAACAAGGAGAGTCCAAACATGCAGAGCATGGCCCAAGCAGTATTTCCAGAAAAACTTATCATCGTAAAGGCATTTATCAAAAACAAGAAAGATAAAAATATAGTATGCAAGCAGCTCAAGAAGTTAGTATAAGGATAACAAGATAAGCACAGTGAAAAAGAGAAGGAAGGAGTTATTAAGGATAAAAACAGAAATAAATGAAACAGGAAACAAAAAAACCCAATTAACAACCAATACAACCAAAAACTAGTTTTTTTTGAAGACCAACAGAATGGACAAATTTCTTAAGTTTGATGTAGGAAAAAAATACTGTTAGAAATGGGAAGCGGGAGAGAGGCTTAACTGCATATACACAGACAAAAAAACTATAATAATGATAAACTTTTTAATTGCAAATTTGAAAACACGAATGAAATGGTTGATTCCCTAAGAAACTAAGTTACTTACATTGATTCAAGGATAGCTTTGAAACCACATAGGTATGACTATGTATTTTTTATAGAAAAGGAATCCGGGGCTCAGAGGCTCAATGATTTGCCCAAGGTCACACAGCCAGTCATGGCAGAAACAGTTCATGTGGATTTAAAGCTCTTTCTTCTACACCAGTTGTTCTCAACTGGGGGCAATTTTGCAACCCTCCCCCGGGAGACATACAGAAATACCTGGAGACATTTTTGGTTATCACAACTAGGGAGGGGATGCTACTGGCTCTAATGGGTGGAAGCCAGGTTTGCTGCTAAACTTACTACAATGCACAGGCCAGCCCCCAACAACACAGAGTTATCCAGCCCCCGTGTCAGCAGTGCTGGGTAGGAGAAACCCTGCTCCACACCATGCTACTTCAAGCACCATGGATAAAAAGTTAACTAGGTCACGGGTCCAACCACTTCTCAGGACTTACCAAAATAACATTAACAGAATATCATAATTTATATTTCTTAAAACCATATACATCACACAGCATATGAAAGATTCACCATTCACTATATTATAATCTAGAACTACTACTCATTTTCTAATAAATCACCATAAGTGTTTCTTCTAGAAACATTACACCATTTGGATAGGAGTCTTAAATGGCTCCTCTCTCATTCTTCTTCTCCCTTTGTCAAAATGCCTGATTTTAATTTAGAGACCAAGCTGAGTTACTTAGCTTAAGTTGATCTTGGCAATAACTTGACACATAAATGTCTTCAGGAGATGATCTCAAAATACAAATATGCATGCCACAACTAGAAGGACCCACAACAAAGAATAGGCAACTATGCACCGGGGGGGTTTGGGGAGAAAAGGAAAAAAATCTTTAAAAAAAAAAAATACAAACACAGGTAAATATTGTGAAAAACAAAGAATTTAAATCTCTTTTTCTGAATCTGGTTTACCAAGTTTATTTGACAGTAATTAGGAATGAGAAGCTAGATGATCAAATTCTCCTCAATTTTCCTATAAATTCATTATAAATTTTTCACATGTAAGACATAAGACACATTAGAAAGTAACAGTCTTCTGACCTTTAACTTTGAAACCAATTGTAGGTTGCCTGGGTTTACCCTGTCACACGCAGGAACATCTGCTATTTCTGTCTGTGGAAACAAAAGGCACAGGATTAATCTACACTTTATGTCTGAGGTCTGTCTGCAGCACTCACTCATCAGAACATCTACTTCCTACGTTTTAATTTCTCTGGCAAAAGCAGCAAAGCTCCAAATGCAACCGCTTCACTGATGACAAAGAGAATAGGATCACCCCACATTTAAAAAACGTATTTTTTAATTAATCTTAATTTACCCAGAATGAACTTAATGTTTACAGTGAAGTCACATCAGAGGAACGTGTTAAAACATTCTTAAACACTGAGGAGCCAACGTGTAAGGAAGTCATGCTGTCCACATTCACCAAGATATTTCATTCCTTTAGAGAAAATGTCACAAAGGAGGTGGACCGTACCTGTTCAACGGAAAGTTTCCACGATTCCAGACATGTATTCCCATGCAGCTGATTTTCTTGGAAAGTGAATGACTCATTGGGAAGAGGTGTTGCTTGGGGACCAGAATCACAGTCACAGGAGGGCTTTCCCTTCCTTCCTGACACATGCAGGCTGCCGTCTAATTCTGGTGGGCTGGCCCAACTGTTGCACTGCTTATGATCATTGGCAAGACTGACTGGGGTGTGCGAGTGAGAAAGCCGGGGTGGAGAGCAAGTTCGTCCAACAAACTCTGCACACACTTCTTCACAGCGTGCTCGGGAGCCAACAGCTGGAGTAACGCCTAAGATGGGGAAAGTGGGTGAACATGCGTCTGCTGCTGGCGCGTCATTATCGTCTGGTCTAACTGTATTTAAAGGAGTGAAAAGCAGTATGGACGAAGAAAGGCCCTGAGGCTGGCTTTTTAGGCTCGGCGTTTTAGGGCATGCTTTTCCTGGTACACTAATCAGTTCCTCTTCCAAGTCCTCCATTTCTGTATCGATTTGTTCAGGAGTCAATTCCTCCAAAACAATACAATTTCCTTCTCTAAGAGGCCTCTCCCCATATATTTTTGATTCAAAAGGCTCAACTGCCCTTTCCGAGCAGAACTGCAATTTTTCAAGTTTAAGAGGTCCGAAGTCTTTATCAGGTAACTCAAAGTCAGTGATTTCGAGAAGAGACGATAGTTGCTTTAAACTTAGCATTTCATTCTTATGAAATGGAGCACGGAAAGCATCATCATCCAAAGCCAAATAAGCACTATTTCTGGAAGAAAGGGACTCCTCTTTTTTCATTTTTTCATTTTTTTTCATTTGACAATGACTTTCTTTTCCTAAAATAGAAAGCGACAATAACAAATATCCAACAAAAGAAACATTAATACCCAACAAAGAGTGAGCTTCTAAACTCCAATACAGTGGAAAATGTTCATTACTTTTCCCACCCATGGCTCTGAAACCTCAGTAAAAGGTTCAAAGCTTGGCCGTAGGTTAGTAGTTACCCAGCAGCTCTCCTTTTGCGTATCAAAACCAGCATGGCGCTGACATTAGCTGGGAGAAGGAAGACAGGAGTCTAGTCCCAGCTCTGCCACTGATTTGCTGTGTTATGTTGGGCAGTCAATTCACTTCATTTTCCCTTGGCCCTCATAAGGGAACTAGACTAAGAATCTCTAATGTCCTTCTTCCCCTAAAACTGATTCCATCAGGCTACCAGAATACAGTCTGCAAAATGCTCGCTCTTCTCAATGAAGAAAACTTAGTCCCCTTTGAGGGCAAAGAGTAATTTACTGCTCTTAGAGTGACTGGAATTCTGTATCATTCAAAATGTGGCTGCATCCATCACCAAATGAATGGATAAACAAACTGGTACACACATGTGATGGAATATTATTCAGCCATAAAAAAGAATGAAATACTGAGTCATGTTATAATATGGATCTCGAAAACATGCTAAGTGAAAGCAGCTAGATACAAAAGGTCACATATTGTATAATTCCATTAATATGAAATATCCAGAATAAGTAAATCCATAGAGATAGAATACAGATTGGTGGTTGCCAGGGCTAGGGGGAGAGGAAACGGGGAGCAACTTTTTAACGGGTATAGGGTTTCCTTTTGAGGTGATGAAAATGTTTTGGGACTAAATCGGGGTCATGGTTGCACAGCATTGTGAATGTACTAAATGCCACTGGATTGTTTGCTTAGTTCAAAATGGTTAATTTTATGTTATGTGAATGTCACCTCAAGAAAAAAAAATCTTTCAATGTAGCTGCAGGTTACTAAAATCACAGCAGGTTATTTTCAAGTACACAAAAGAATGTTTCTAATTTATTACTAGATTGCCCTACTTTCTGATTTCTTTGTATTTGTGTTGGCTTAAAAGATGATAAAAAAGCCATGATGATTATTATTTTTAAATTAATCAATTAATTATAGCTCATAGACCAAAGCCTGCATCCCACCGTATGGAGCAGCTGGCTGCCTGTTTTTGCAAATAAAGTTCTATTGGAACAGTCACATGTACATATTGTCTCTGGTTACTTTCGCACTATACTTGAGTAGCTGTGACAGAGCACAATGGCTGTATTTACCACCTGGCTCTTTACAGAAAGTCTGTTAATTTCTAGTATAGAATCACAGTGAATTAGCTAGTTTTTGTGCTTAGTTTATCAGATATAACTACTGAGTAAATGAATAAAAAGTTTAAATTATAACATGTCTCTTGCTATCATCCAAAATCTTGTCTCCCACAGACCTTACAGACACTGTATTAGAGATTTTATCCAAAAACGTTGCTCAGACCTATTGCATTCCTAAGAGAGCTTGTCAGTGGACTCTTACTCTAACACACATTTCATTTCACTTCAGAAACACTTCCTGTATTAGCTGTAAAGCTTCTACCCATGGAAAGATTGTGTCGTACCTGAATAAATACTAATTTTAGGTAGACATCTAATGTATTTTCCTTCTGTGTCAACTTTTTCAACCACGTTAGTGAACTCTGACACCACATAGCTAGGTTTGAATCCTGGCTCTGTCACTTTAATTAAGTCACTTTACTCTCCTTGTGCCTTAGCTTCCTCAGCTGTAAAGCGAGGACAGAAACAGATTCCCCCTCATGTAGGGACGCTGTGATTCAGGAAGTTAGCATCTGTGCAACATCTAGGAAGCGCCAGGCACAGAGTGTTAACCAGCGTCATCATCAACCACACCGTGATTCACCTCCAACCCTCTTCTTACCACGAATAGTTGCTTTTTCATTCTCATCTTTGCGCAACGTGACTCCTTCCTTGGACCTATTGACACCACACGTGCCAGAAGTTGGCAAAAGTAGTTCACAACGATCTAATTCAGGGGTGCAGGTTGACTTTCTTTTTCCTCCGGGTCTTCTGCCAGATGTCTGGGTAACCGCCTTCCTAGAAAAGTCATCTGGAGTGGGCCCAGTGGGGGAGCTGACTTCGGTTAATGAGAGAAGTTTCTGAGCAGGACTTCTCGAGTTGGGTCGTCCTGTGCATGTGTCAGACATCCTAATTTCACTTTGCTTAGTCTCTTCACTGGAGGAGTTTAAATTTTTAGTAGCTTCCTTTTTATTTTTAAACCCCTTCTTTCTGACACCCAAATGACTCTGAATTACAGCCTCCAGGGCTACTTTCCTCTGGCAGCTGGACATGCGTCGCGTGGTTCTAACATAATATTCTGCAGGAAATAGGAGGCCTTCAAGCACTGTGCAAGAATCTGTTTGATCTTCTGCAGAATCAGGGGAGATTACTTCTAGGCTGAGACTGTTAGGTTGACTTAGAACCTCATTTTCCTGAATACTTTCATTTCTACCATCAAGAGTGTTATTGGGAGATTTTAAAGACCTCTCTGCGTGATTTTGTTCTTTGAAGTTTTGGTTTTCATCTGCTGATAAGCTATCAGAAGTGAGTTCATTTAGAGAACATGAATTATCTGCCTCTAAGTTAGGACTTCTAGGCAGCTGGCCGCTTGCACTTACAGCTTTATTTACCTCTGGGTTATCTGTAAGGACAGTCATTTTTTTGTCTTGTGCTTCTAAGTTTACAGGTGAAACAGGGCTAATGTTTTCTAAACTGTGAGCAATAAGTTCACCGTTATCTTCAGAAGGCTTATGCTCGAGATGCTGACCACTACTGCTATCTAGCAGAGTATGCACAGGCAGTGTAGTCGCTCTGGGGAAGTCATTTCCTCTGAAGAGCTCATCGACACCTCTTTGTGGTTTGGCATTTGGAATTAATACACTCCCTACATTAGTTTCTATAACTGCTGCTGGAAGATCTGAACCGTCAGACTTAGGACTTGGAAGGTAAATTCTTTTTTCAGTTACAAGTGTCCTAGGATTTTCTCTATTGATTCCTTCCTGTTCCTTTAGTCTTTTGCCAGAGAGTAGAAGGGAATCAGTGTCAAAGAAAGACTCTCTTTCCTGTGAAATAAATGTTCTCTTCTGCTGCTTAGTTCTTCTCCCTGGCAGCTTACTCTGCCTTTTCTCACCATCAGGGCCAGGGACCCTGTAGGGAAAACGTTCTTGGATATCACCTGTTCTTTGTATGCATAATCCTTCCACTGGGCCATGTCCTGGCTCCGCATCAAGCGTGACAGATGTCTTTCCTCCAGTGTCTTCATTGAGATGGGAGTTGATTTGTAACGTGTCACAAGGAGATGCTTTATTTTTAGGTTCTAAGAAGAAAAAATGATAATTATTAATATTTTTCTTGTAAAATGAAACAAAAAAATACTCCATATTTACTTTAAAATAGTGTATATAAATACTACCAAACATTTATTTAAGAGTCAATGGTATTTCATTCAGGCAGATCAAAGTTCATGTTTTTAATAATCTAATAAACTATAATAATTTTAAGTAAACATAAACAAATAGAATTATGCTGGAAATAATGATTTTTTTTAAAGGGTTTTTAAAGATTTTACTTTTTTCCTTTTTCTCCCCAAAGCCCCCCAGTACATAGTTGTATATTCTTCGTTGTGGGTCCTTCTAGTTGTGGCATGTGGGATGCTGCCTCAGCATGGTCTGATGAGCAGTGCCATGTCCGTACCTAGGATTCGAACCAACGAAACACTGGGCCGCCTGCAGCGGAGTGCGCGAACTTAACCATTCGGCTACGGGGCCAGCCCCTGGAAATAATGATTTTTAAACTAAACTTCTAGTTTAAAAAGAGCAACTCAACAATCCAACTGAAAGCATAGTTTGTTGCTCAGAGAATAGGAGAAAATATTTATAAATCACATATCTGATAAGGGTCTAACAGCTAGAAGATACAAAGAATCTTTACAACTCAACAATAAAAAGACAACCTAATTAAAATATTGTTAAAGGACTTGAATAAACATTTCTCCAAAGAAGATATAAAACTGCCAATAAGCACACGAAAAGATGTTCAACACCATTAGTCACTAAGAAATGCAAACCAAAACCAATTAGATACCACTTAACTTGTACCAGGATGAATCTAATTGTGAAAATGGAAAATTACAAATATTAACAAGGATGTGGAGAAACTGGAAGGCTTGTGCATTATGGTGGGAATGTAAAATGCTACAGCTGCTGTCGAAAACAGTCTGCCGGCTCCTCAAAAAGTTAAACATAGAATTACCATATGACCCAGCAATTCCACTTAGGTATACACACAAAAGAACTGAAAAACATAAAAAACACTTGCACATTATAGTTCACAAGAGCGTAACAGCCAAAATTCGGGATAGCCAAAAAGTAGAAACAACCCAAATGTCCATCAACTGATAAATGGATATACAAATTACGGTATATCCGTACAATGGAATATTGTTCAGCTGCAAAAAGCAACCAAGTACTGACGCATGCTTGGATTTATGTATGCATGGATAACCAGTGAAAACATTATGCTAAGTGAAAGAAGCCAGTTACAAAAGGCCACATATTGTATGGTTCCATTTATATAAAATGTCCAGAATACGTAAATCCACAGAGACAGAAAGTAGATTAGTGGTTGCTAGGGGTTAGGGGTAGGATAGGTAGGTACAGGGTTTCTTTTGGGGGTGGTGAAAATGTTCTGGAATTAGATAGTGATGATGGTTGCACAATCTTGTGAATACACAAAGAAGCACTGAATTAGACAGTTTAAAAAAAGTCTATCGCTAGTCCTTATCTTCTGGCTGTGAGAAAAAGAACCAGAGTCAAATATACCTGGGAGACGAATAACAAGCGAGCTTTACCTGGGCGGTTTAGCTGTGGTGAAACTTCTTCCTGGAGCAAGTCATCTTGTCCTTCCACTGTTTTCTTAAGAGAATTCTTAACCTTCTCAGCTCTTTGGGCACGCTAGAGAAAACAAAAGCAGCTCAAGGGACAAATTTAACAAAAAGAAATAAGTTTTTAAAAAAGTTTTATTATTATCAACTGTTTTTATATAGTTTGTACTACAATACCCCAATTTGAGAGAAGAGGATTCACTTACCTGAAGGCGGGCCAAGGTCTTGCTGTATTCCCTTTTCAAGAAAGCTAATTTTTCCTTCAACTGGAAGAAGAAAAACACCAAAGAGTACTGAGCAGGTGGAAGGCAGAGTCCGAGAGAAGGGGTACAGTGCCTGTGAGGGCTGAGTGCTCAGCAGTCCCTCAGCAAGAGCAAGAGGCAGTGCAGGGAGTGGCGATGGCCCACACTCCTTTCCATTCTCACAAAGCACCAAGCTCTCAGATACCTCAGCCCCTCTGCAGAAACTCTTCCAGCTACCTGGAGCATTTTCTCCTCACCTCATTTTGCTAATTCCTACTGATTCCTCAAGCCTCAGCTGAGATTCTTTATTTCCCTGGGGTAGACTTCTAGGTCCTTCTCCAAATCCAAGTTAGACAATGCACCTCTCCCCTGGGCTTCCTTTATCACAGTACTTATTATATTCTATGTTGTCTGTTTACTTCCATTTTCCCCTGTGAGATCCTCAAAGGAAGCAGGAGCTGTCATCCTTATCAATCATTCCACAAATGCATCTCTTATTTGTCAGTTATTGGTCCAGGGATCTCTAGCACCTGGACCAACAACTGATACCCAATATGTGTCAGTTATTGTTCCAGCTCCTAGATACACAGGCGTCAAGCTTACATATAATGGAAGATACAGAGAATAAACAAGAAAACAAACACATAAAATGACTTCACATGGCAGTCAATATCTAGATAAACAGGGAGCTGTGACAGTGCCTGGCCTACAGGGAATGGTGTACAGTACTTTAGATAGGGTGGCCAGGCAGGCCTTTCTGAGGACTACCATTCAAGCCCTCATGTGAAGGAGGAAGGAGCTAGCTTTGGGAAGATCAGAGAGAGAGCAACTTGTCCAAGATCCCCCAGTTTATAAATAGATCGCATCTCACAGCATCCTGTTTATCACCAACCTTATCGATATCTGGGAATTATCTTGTTGACTTGTAAATGACCCTTCTCACCCTCACTAGAAGGGAGGACTGGATACGAGGGCCGATGAATTAATGTGAACAGAGTTTAACACAATGCCTGGAACAGCCAGCACAACCTACAATCAAGCTAACATCATCAGCACAAGCACAACGTGGCATGGATAAGGTTATTTAGGGCAGCCTGTTGTAGCAACAGAAGCTGGAAACCTAAAAGTCTCTCAGCCGAGTAATATTTAAAGAAAAGATGGCACTCCTACACTACAGAATGCCATATACAACTTAAAAAAATAAGGTAAACATATGCTATTGGGGATGTTAAACAAGGAGAAGGAAAACGGAAGTTGCAGAACCATCCAGATCATACCATTTATGAACACTGACCTTTCCAAACAGTACACATTAATTTTCGGTGGTTAGGGAGTACAACGGCACCCCTCCCCACGCCCCACCCCGCCCACCATACACACACACAAACGCAAACGCGCGCACACACACACACACACACACACGCACGCAAAGATCGAAAGTACCAGACTAAGAGATTTACTTGCGGGGGCGGGGGCAGGGAAGGTGTCAAAGGAGGCTTAGCTTTATCTAAAGTTTAACATTTTGTATTTATGCATTGGTGCTGTAATGAAAACTTGTTCGTGAGCACGGCGCTCTTCTACATTTTCACTCCCTGTGCCCCTTCAGTCCGGAGAAGAGCGTGGGTCAGAGATAACTGCCGCCCTCGAACAGCAGAGGAAACAGCCTATAATCCTAGGACAGGGGGTCGGAGTTGCGTCTGCCCTTCCCGCACCCCTCGGCACCTTTTCCTTCTCCTCACAGCTGAGGGGCTTCCCGAGAGGCTCTTCCATCGGGCCAGCGGCCGAAAGAAAAGAACAGCCGTCGCCAGCTCCGGGCCTGCGGACACCAGAATCACGGCTGGCCCCGAACCCCCCAGGCGCCGAGGGAAAAACCGGGGATCAGCGCGCGACCAGCCGGCCCACGTGGGCCCGCGCGCCGGGAAGCCCCGCCAATTGCATCCGGCGCTCAGCCTGCGCACGCGCAGCCGGAGACTGCCGAGCAATGGAGCGGGGCCGCCCAGCGGAGAGCCGAGCTGTGGATGGGAGCCGAGGCCGCCCGGAGCGGAAGTGGGGCAGCTGCCGGAAGTAGTCGGAATCCCTGAACGACAGACGGGCAGACAGACTTTGACAGAGGCGAGAGCTGCGGAAAGGAGTTGGTGGCCATGGAGTTGGGCGAGCTGCTCTACAACAAGTCCGAGTACATCGAGACGGTGCGCGGGTCCAGTCATCTGCCCTCCCCTTGCCAGGCCTGCGTCCCTCTGAGCCCAGAGCCGCCGTTCTCTCCCTGCCCCACCCCGGGTCCCGGTGGCAGTTAGTGGGGATTACCTAGGGACACTTCGTGCATGGTCTGGCTTCGTTATATATTCTTTGTTTGGCCAGTTTAGCCTCTTTTAATTTATTCTTGATTCCCTCGTGGAGATAAAGTGCCTTCCAGAAAGCAGGACATCCGTCCAAATATTAATTACAGCTCCAGGCTTCCGACCAATTTAAAGTATTTTTTGAACTGACATTTCGTAATTTATTACTGTGTGCTAAAGACTGTTAGGTTCTTTATAGTCGATACATAATGTGTGTAAATTGCTTGAAACAGAGTAAGTGTTCCAGCAACGTTCCTGTTATTTTGTTTTTCATTGAATTCTCACCACTCTATGCTATTATTAGTAAAGTCGTTATCCTGGTTTTAGGGCTGTAAAACCGAAGTATGGAACTGAGACTGGAATCCGCGTTTCTGATGCGGTTAGGCTGTAGGCCTAATGGTCCAAATTCTGGATCCGTTCTTTGAATCCCCAGTTTCCTAATCCATGCTTGCTGCTTTGATATACTGCACTCCTTCCGGTGCAGACCACACCCCATTTCAAGTCCTTTTCTGTCCAGTGTGAGCTTTCTTGATGGAAACCTGTAGCCCAGAACCCACTCAGTGTGCTCACCCCGGTTTTCTGCTGTTTCCTTTCAGGCGTCTGGGAACAAAGTTAGTCGCCAGTCAGTGTTGTGTGGAAGTCAGAACATCGTTCTCAATGGCAAGGTAAGGGACCAAGCCAGCTCCAGTACGCAAACTTTTGCTGTCTTTCCACTAATTATCACATTAGCCGGGCAGATAAAATGTTGTCATGTCTCCCGTTTATTGCTGTACATTTAAAAATTCTCTTTTTTTTCTTTTTCACTCTCCAAATTAGATTTATTGAATACAAAAGAGATTGAATAAAGGGAGGCAACAGAAAGCCTTTTTCCTTTTATGCTAGGCACAAAATACAATGGCACCTAGAACTGAAATTGTACAATATTGTAGTGTGCCCTGTACGACTGGAGACAAAACATAGTTAGGCAACAAAATATTTTAGGGTAAAAACTAAAGTAATACTAATATAATTATCTGTTTAATAATAATTAATGATTCAGTATTAATTGAAACCTTTAAAATTAATGTAACAATTAAGAAAGATATTAAAATATGAGACAAATATGCAAGATGGAATATGAAAGGCTCAGAATCTTGTAGTCTGAGTAGATTGAAATAGCAGAGAGATGAGTATAAGCTTAGGAATGATATTAGAACATTGCCAAACCAGAGAAAATTCAAAATATATTTGAGGGGCCGCCCCCATGGCCTAGTGGTTAAGTTCACGAGCTCCGCTGCTTCAGCCAGGGTTTTGCTGGTTCGAATCCTGGGCACGGACATGGCAGCACTGATCAGGCCACGCTGAGGTAGCATCCCACATGCCACAACTAGAAGGACCCACAACTAAGAATACACAACTATGTACCCCGGGGGCTTTGGGGAGAAAAAGGAAAAAAATAAAATCTTTAAAAAAAAAAAAGATATATTTGAGCTTGACAAATACTGAAGTCTATAGTTTTTTCCTGCCATCTAGAACACTCAGTTTTCCTTGAAATGTTACATCTCTAACTTCCAGAGAGAAAATAGTCTCACTGTAATCAAGGTATCAGGTATCAGATGTAATCTAGATATCATAGATATTTTCCAGTAGAGACACAATTACTCCCTCCAGTAGCCTATCATGCCATGAGATTTTAATGGAAAAGAAAAATGGTTCAGTGATGAGATATAATTAGTAATTATAGACAGTGTTTCTGCACAGAGTTTGAAAATTCAGTTAACTCTGTCTGATTCAATGGTAAATGTGTGGAGGTTTTTTGGAAGTCCCTTAGCTAATTCCAAAACGTTTTCAGTAGAAAAATTTGTAGGAAGATTTTTTTTTTTGCTGAGGAAGATTTGCCCTGAGCTAACATCTGTACCAGTCTTCCTCTACTTTGTATGTGGATTGCCGCCAAGGCATGGCTTGAGAAGTGGTGTGGGTCTGCACCTGGGATCCAAACCTGTGAACACAGGCCACTGAAGTGGAACGTGTGGAACTCTAACAACTTGGCTACAGGGCCAGCCCTGATTTTTATTTTTTTAATCGAGGTGAAATATATGTGACAAATTTTGCCGGTTTAACCTTTTTTTTTGCTGAAGAAGATTAGCCCTGAGCTAACATCTATTGCTAATCTTCCTCCTTTTTTGCTTGAGGAAGATTAGTCCTGAGCTAACATCTGTGTTGGTCTTCCTCTACTTTATAAGTGGGCTGCCACCACAGCATGGCTGACAAGTTGTGTAGGTCCACACCTGGGAGCCAAACCCATGAACTCAGGTCACAGGAGGTGGAGCACGCCAAACGTAACCACTACGCCACGGGGCCAGCCCCCATTTTAGTCTTTTTTTTTTTCTTTATTACAGCCACATGCTATTTTAGGGTTTTCGTGTTTAATATATTTTTTTATTGAGTTCATAATAGTTTACATCAATGAGAGATTTCAGTTGTACATAATTTCTTGACTGTCACCACATAAGTGCTCCCCTTCACCCCCTGTGCCCACCCCCACCCCCCTTCCCCTGGTAACCACTGAACTATTTTCTTTGTCCATGTGTTTGTTTATATTGACATAAGAGTGAAATCATCTGGTGTTTGTCTTTCTCTTTTTTTTTTTTTTAAACATTTTATTTTTCCTTTTTGTCCCCAAAGCCCCCTGGTACATAGTTGTGTATTTTTATTTGTGGGTCCTGCTAGTTGTGGCATGTGGGACGCCACCTCAGCATGGCCTGATGAGTGGTGCCATGTCCGTGCCCAGGATTTGAACCAGTGAAACCCTGGGCCACTGAAGTGGAACGTGCGAACTTAACCACTCCGCCACGGGACTGGCCCCTGGTGTTTGTCTTTATTAGTCTGGCTTATTTCGCTTAGTATAATTTTCTCCAGGTCCTTCCATTTTATTGCAAATGGGATGGATTTGTCTTTTTTATGGCTGAGTAGTATTCCATTGTATATATATACCACGTCTTCTTTATCCAGTCATAGGTCGATGGGCACTTGGATTGTTTCCATGTCTTGGTTATTGTGAATATTGCTGCAATGAACATAGGGGTACATATGCTGCTTTAGATTGTTGATTTCAAGTTGTTTGGGTAGATACCCAGTAGTGGGATAGCTGGGTCATATGGTAGTTCTATTTTTAGTTTTTTTGAGGAATCTTGATACTGTTTTCCATAGTGGCTGCACCAGTTTGCATTCCCACCAGCAGTGTATGAGGGTTCCCTTTTCTTCATATCCTCTCCAACATTTGTTATTTTTAGTCTTAGTGATTATAGCCATTTTAACAGGCATAAGGTGGTATCTTAGTGTAGCTTTGATTTGCATTTCCCTGATGATTAGTGATGTTGAACATCTTTTCATGTGTTTATTGGCCATCTATATATCTTTTTTGAAAAAATGTCTGTTCATATCCTCTGCCCATTTTTTGATCAGGCTGTTTTTTGTTGTTGTTCAGTTGTGTGAGTTCCTTATATATTATGGAGATTAACTGCTTGTCAGATATATGATTTGCAAATATTTTCTCCCAATTTGTGGGGTGTCTCTTTGTTTTGATCCTAGTTTCTTTTGCCTTGCAGTAGCTCTTTAGTCTGATGAACTCCCACTTGTTTGTTTTTTCTTTTGTTTCCCTTGTCTGAGAGGACATGGTATTTGAAAAGATCCTTTTTAGTTTGATGTCAAAGAGTGTACTACTGATATTATCTTCCAGGAGTTTTATAGTTTCAAGACTTATCTTCAAGTCTTTGATCTGTTTTGAGTTTATTTTTGTGCATGGAGTGAGATAGTGGTCTACCTTCATTCTTTTGCATGTGGCTGTCCAGTTTTCCCAACACCATTTATTGAAGAGACTGTCTTTTCTCCATAGTATGTTCTTGGCACCTTTGTCAAAGATTAGCTCACCGTAGATGTGCGGTTTTATTTCTGGGCTTTCAGTTCTGTTCCATTGATCTGTGTGCCTGTTTTTGTACCAGTACCATGCCGTTTTGATCACTACGGCTTTGTAGTACATTTTGAAGTCAGGGATTGTGATGCCTCCAGCTTTGTTCTTTTTTCTCAGGATTGCCTTAGCAATTCAGGGTCTTTGGTTGCCCCATATGAATTTTAGGATTCTTTGCTCTATTTCCGTGAAGAATGTCATTGGGATTCTGATTGGCATTGCACTGAATCTGTAGATTGCTTTAGGTAGAATGGACATTTTAACTATGTTTATTCTTCCAGTCCATGAGCATGAAATCTCTTTCCATCTCTTTATGTCATTATCAGTTTCTTTCAGTAGTGCCTTATCGTTTTCATTGAATAAGTCCTTCACCTCCTTGGTTAAATTTATTCCTAGGTACTTTATTCTTTTAGTTGCGATTGCAAATGGAATTGTATTCTTGAGTTCTCTTTCTGTAAGTTCGTTATTGGAGTATAGAAAAGCAACTGATTTTTGTAGGTTGATTTTGTACCCTGCAACTTTACTGTAGTTGTTAATTATTTCTATTAGTTTTCTGATGGATTCTTTGGGGTTTTATATATATAAGATCATGTTGCCTGCAAATAACAAGAGTTTCACTTCTTCACTCACTATTTGGATTCCATTTATTCCTTTCTCTTGCCTAATTGCTCTGGCCAAAACCTCCAGTACTATGTTGAATAAGAGTGATGATAGTGGGCATCCTTGTCTCATTCCTGTTCTCAGGGGGATGGTGTTCAGTTTTTGCCCATTGAGTATGATGTTGGCTGTTGGTTTGTCATGTATGGCCTTTATTATGTTGAGGTAATTTCCTTCTATCCCTATTTTGTTCATAGTTTTTATCATAAATGGCTGTTGGATCTTGTCAAATGCTTTCACTGCATCTATTGAGATGATCATGTGGTTTTTATTCCTCAATTTGTTGATGTGGTGTATCACATTGATTGATTTGCAGATGTTGAACCATCACTGTGTCCCTGGTATGACTCCCACCTGGTCATGATGTATGAGCCTATTGATGTATTCCTGAATTTGGGTTGCCACAATTTTGTTGAGGATTTTTGCGTCTATGTTCATCAGCAATATTGGCCTGTAGTTCTCCTTTTTTGTGCTCTCCTTGTCAGGCTTTTGTATCAGAGTGATGTTGGCCTCATAGAGTATGTTAGGAAGCATTCCCTCTTCCCTAATTTTTTGGAATAGCTTGAGAAGTATAGGTACTAAATCCTCTCTGAAAGTTTGGTAGAATTCCCCAGGAAAGCCATCTGGTCCTGGGGTTTTATTCTTTGGGATGCTTTTGATTACTGTTTCAATCTCTTTTCTTGTGACTGGTTTATTCAGATTGTCTTTTCTTCTTGATTCAGCTTTGGGAGGTTGTATGATTCTAAGAATTTATCCATTTCCACTAGATTGTCCATTTTGTTGGCATATAGTTTTTGGTAGTATTCTCTTATAATCTGTTATATTTCTGTGGAGTCTGTTGTTATTTCTCCTGTTTCACTTCTGATTTTGTTATCTGAGCTTTCTGTCTTTTTTTCTTTGTAAGTCTGGTTGGGGTTTGTCAATTTTATTTATCTTCTCAAAGCACCAGCTCTTTGTTTCGTTGATCCTTTCTACTGCCTTTTTTGTTTCAATAGCATTTATTTCTGCTCTGATTTTTATTATTTCTCTCCTTCTGCTGACTTTGGGCTTTGTTTGTTCTTC